GATCTTGCGTAATTCTCCCTCACAAGCAGCAGAGGAACGATTGCAAGAGCACCTGTTGCAAGCAGCGAATACGTCACCCACTCGTAGCCTGAAAACGTATACATAGAAAGAAGGGAAAATCAGTTAAAAGACGAGTGGATATCATGCACCGGATTCCATTTTCAGTCAGTGGATATGTGGATATGTTTGGGGACCGTGGGTATGTGACGGGGAAGAAATAAGCGAATTAAAACGGTATTTAACTAAAAAATCTGAAAAGATGTATGATAACATAACATACCAGCAATAAATGATAATGATGATTAAAAGTTAAAAAAGATAATCTAAACACCAACACGTAATTGAAATAAAAAGACAAAGAAGGTGATAATATCAGCATTAATGATAATATGGCAACAAATAATGATAATGATACATGATAATGATATTAACAACAACAACAATAATAATAATGATAATAATAATAAAATAATAGTAATAATAATGAGCTAATGAACCATAAACTTAATAGTAACAAACAAAAACAAAAAACAATTAATAATAACAAATAATATTCAAAGAAGTAATCTTTCGGTTAACAATGAAGATACAAGTGGAAGTAATGGTAATGATTTAGATGGTAATATTAATATAAAAAATTATGATAATAATAATGATAATGAACAAAATAATGAAAATGATATTAATAACAATAACAATAATGAAAATACTAACTATAATGTTATTAATAATGATAATAATTATGATAATCTCATTGTTAATCATAGAAATTATAATAAATATATGACTATGATAAGAATAATAGAATAATGATGATAATCATGTTAATAAAATAATAGCAATTATAATCATTGATGAATATAATAGAGACACGCAGATAAATTATCATAAATATAGATAATAAAAACTTCCCCCTCCTCTTCTCTTTCTTATTCCTCTTCCTTTCTCTCTCCCTATTTCCCTCTTTCTTCTTATTCATTCTTTTCTTCTCCCCCCCCCATTTCCCTTTTTCTTTTATTCTTCTTTCTTCTTATTCTTAACAAAAACACCGTGGAATTCTTCGGTTATCCTTTTTCCCTCTCCGTCTTTCTCGTTCTCTCTTTTCTCTTTTCTCTCTCGCTATTTCCCCTTTTATCGTCCTCCCTTGCGCTTTATTAGGGATAGAAGCGGGAGGAATAACAAGGCAAAGATATTCCCTCTTCTTTCTCTCCTATCTTTTTCCTTTTTTGTCTCCTTTCTTTTTCTTTTCTTCTTTCCCTTTTTTCTTATTCTCTTCTCTCTCTTTCTTCTTTCTTTCTTTTTTGTTCTCTTCTTTTTTTCCTTTTCCTCGTCTCCTTCCTCTTTTTTAAATTCTTTCGTCTTCTTTCTTTTCTTCTCTCTCTTATCATCCGTTTATCCTTCTTCCTTCTCCATACTTACCTATATTCAGAATGCAGAAGAGAAAGAGGACTAGAAACCCCAAACAAACCTTCTCTCCTTCCTCCTTTCTCTTCATCTGTTCCTTCTCTCTCTCTCTCTCTCTCTCTCTCTCTCTCTCTCTCTTCTCTCTCTCTCTCTCTCTCTCTCTCTCTCTCTCCTCTCCCTCTCCCTCTCTCTCGCCTCTCCCTCTCTCCCCTCTCCCTCTCTCCCTCCCTCCTCTCTCTCCCTCCCTCTCTCTCCTCCCTCCTCCCCTCCCTCCCTCCCTCCCTCCTCTCCCTCCCTCCCTCCCTTCCCTCCCTCCCTCCCTCTCTCTCCCCCTCCCTCCCTCTCCCTCCCTCCTCCCTCCTCTCACTCACTCACTCTCCCTCCCTTTCTCTCTCTCTCTATTTCGTCTTCTTATTCCCATCTCTCTCTCCCACTCACCTATATTCGGAATAAAGAAGAGCAGGAGGAACAGCAAGCCCACGAAGTTGTCGGCGCCCGTCAGCATCCCGCCCACGACCACCTCAGGACACGGGTAGGACACTTCGACCGCCAGCTCCATGAAGAGAGGGGCGGTGGCGAAGTTCAGCGCCAGGCCCCCGACCACACTGACATACACTTGCCCTGTACGTAGAAAAATTGGAAAATGTAAAAAGTGTGAAAATAGATAGAGAGGTGAATGAATGATAGAAGTTGAACGTGAATGTATAAGAAATAAAGAGGGAAATAAAAGAAAAAATGGGAAAAATATTATGAGGGGCGGTGGCGAAGTTCAGCGCCAGGCCCCCGACCACACTGACATACACTTGCCCTGTATGTAGAAAAATTGGAAAATGTAAAAAGTGTGAAAATAGATAGAGAGGTGAATAAATGATAGAAGTTGAACGTAAATGTATAAGAAATAAATATGGAAATATAGAAAAATTAAAAAATAATAAAAAAATAATAAATAAAAAAAAAATATATATATATATATATATATATATTATATATATATATATATATATATATATATATATATATATATATATATGAGCCAGTGGAGAAATTCAATGCCAGGCCCCCGACTACACTAAAATATACTTGCACTGCATGTAGAAAGAATGGAAATTTTAAAAAGTGTAGAAACAGACAGAGAGATGAATAAATGACAGAAGTTGAATGTGAATGTGTAAGAAATAAAGATGGAAATGAAGAAAAATGTAGAAATGAAGGGGGCGGTGATGAATTTCCGCGCCAGGGCCTCGACTACACTAAAATACACTTGCCCTGTATGTAGAAAAATTGAAAATTGTAAAAAGTGTAAAAACTGATAGAAGTTGAATGTAAATGCATAAGAAATATAGATGGGAATGAAGAAAAATGTAGAATTGAAGAGGACGGTGGAAAATTTCAGTGCTAAGTCCCAGACTACACTAAAATACACATCTCCTACAGATTAATAAGGAAAATAATATAAATAAAAAAAAGTAGTAAATTAAATTAACTATTAAATGTATGAACAGTAAGAACAAAGTGACACATTTTTTACCACGATTTTTTTTTCGTTTTATTATCATTATTATTACTACTACTATGATTATTATATTATTATCATTTTTTGTATCTCCAGATTCGGAATCAATGATAAGTAATTAACAGAGGATCAAGTCAAAGTAGCAAATGGCAATAATCAGTACATAGAAAAGAAATAAGAGAAACAACGAAGACAAAAATAATGATAAAGGATGATGAGGAAATTAGAAAGTGAGAAATAAATGGGAAAAAAGAAAGAGAAGGCAGAGAAATGGAAAAGAAGGAAACTTATTTGAGAAATAAATAAGTAATGTGTTTGAAGAACGAGATAAATGAAAAAATGATGATGGAGACATAAAAAGAAGATATACTACACTAGGTTTAGAGAATATCCATCTATCCATAATCATATATATTATATATATATATATATATATATATATATATATATATATATATATATATATATATATTATATATATATTATGTATGTGTGTGTGTGTGTGTGTGTGTTGTGTGCGTGTGTGTGTGTGTGTGTGTGTGTGTGTGTGTATGTGTGTGTGTGTGTGTGTGTGTGGTGTGTGTGTGTGTGTGTGTGTGCTGTGTGTGTGTGTGTATGTGTATGTGTATATATATATATACTATATGTGTGTGTGCTGTGTGTGTGTGTGTGTGTGTGTGTGTGTGTTGTGTGTGTGTGTGTGTGTGTGTGTGTGTGCATATACATATTAGTTATATATAATATATATATGTATATATATACATATATATTACATATTGTTATGTATAATGTACATGCATGTAAACATGCGTGTGTATGCATGTGTGCGTGCGCGCGTGTACGCAACGCCCAGCCGCCGGAGGAGGACCGAGGCGCCTACACCTGGAGGCCGCGACGGCGCCCCACGCCAGCAGGAAGAACCAGAAGAAGCAGGCCAGCGTCGCCTCCGTCAGCGCCAGCAGCGTCGCCTTCACGTGGCCGTAGACGAGGTCGGTGGCCCGGCCCGCGAGCAGCCCGGACGCGCCCGACGCCACGACGGCGAGGAGGCCCACCCACATGGCGTCGTCCTGGGGAGGGGGAGGGGGGGGGGTGAGTGGGTGGACGCGTTCGTGAGTGAGTGATGAAGGGGCGAGTGGGAGAGTTAGTGGTGGTAAGTGAACAATTTTGGTGGAGTTAGTGAGTGGAAGATTTAGAATAAGAATTGGTGGACGAGTTCGTGAGTGGAAGAAATAGTGGATGAGTTTCTGTATTGACGAGCGAGTAGACATATTAGTGGAAGAGTTAATGAGTAGGTGGAATACTTTGTGGAAGAGGAAGTAAATTTTGTGGAAGATTAAGTGGAAGAATCAGTGTATGACTTAGTGAGTGGAAGAGCGAGTGGACGAGTTAGTGGAGAATTAAGTGGAAGAATTTTGGTTGTTGAGTTAGTGAGTGGAAGATTTAGAATAAGAATTGGTGGATGAGATAGTGAGTGTGGAAGAGTAAGTGGAATATTTTTGTGGAAAAGTAAGTAGAAGTCGTGGATGAGTTAGTGAGTGAAGAAGATTGTGGAATATTTATTTATGATCTTGAGAGTGATGATAATGTTTATGACCTTAGTTATTATGATGATGACCGTCATAACCATCATAAAATATTAATTGATATTAGTTACATTATAAATTAAGGATAAAGCCACAAGAATGAATGAAATTCCTGTTTAGCGTCCGGACAAAATGATAACTGATGAGTCTGTTTTCCATGATTCTTTACTTATTATTCATTTCTACAAGAATTTGAAGAAGAAAACAACGGCTTTTCAAAGTCATCAAATGGTCTTCTTAATTGTGGGTAATCATGACACTTTTCATTCCTTTTTACTAGCAAAAGTATTCTCTCTGAAAAGCATGACAAGAGAACAGCTTTTCAAAGTCATCAAATCATATTTTGGGGAATAGTGGATTTTTTTTTTTTTTTTTTTTTTTTTTTTTTTTTTTTTTTTTTTTTTTGACGGGCGTTGTCGGGCCTTATGGGCGGTGGGCGTGGAAACTTTGATTCTCATGGCCTCAAAACAATAAAAAAGCCGCATGATTAAGTAAAGGAT